AATTAATTAGACCTTTTGTAGAAGTGCTGATGAAAGCAAGATTTGGACATCATGATTTGTTTCATGCATTTATAAGCAAAGTATATTGGGTTTGGAATGAAATCTCGAGAAAATTAGGGGAACCCACTAAAATTCACATTGAAACAATGAAGGGAGTGTCAAGAAAGTCATCGAACCAAAGGCAACTGCTGGCGCATTTTCCAGGTTGGCGGCTTACATAGCCTAATGCCACTGCTAAGTGCCAAGAGCATAATTAATGTCTTTTATTTTCTGGTGGAAGAGTCTCTTATTAAGCCTGTCCCTTTACCTTTTTTATACCTCCGAAATGTGTTCCCCACCATATTTTATTTATTTATTTGACTAATAGTATGAATAAAATGATATGATTTGAACATAATAATGTTAGTGTAACTTTTAGTAGTCTTGTATGGATCCTTTCGTATTAGAGTGGAGAGTTTGAATTAAATAATGTAAAATAAAAATAATGTGACAGAAAGATACAATAATGGTTTGTTTGATTTAAGAGGATAAAAGTAAAAGAGTTCTTTGAATGTACATTACCGTAAAAGCAAAGGTATGGCTTTTAAATGTTACCAAATGTAAAAGAATGGCTGCTTAAAATTATCAAAAACAAATAAATAAAGATGGTAGAAGAAGAAAAAAAAAAGATGCTTTGATTTGGAAGGGCATTTTTTTTTCTTATATTGGTAAATTTCTAAGAAAATGAGTTAAAGTAAATTCAATATCCAATTCGAAAAGGTCAAGGTCAAATCTGAATAAATTTTGGTTAAACTATCAATTTAGCAAGTTGATTTTTGGATTTGTTTTAAAATTATTGTTAAACTTCAAAAAAATTTTAAAATTATTCCTAAATTTTAATTTTTGATGTCAAAATAATCTTTCTATTAACAAAAGTACTACATGATTAATTTTAATATTTATTATTTAAATTAAATAAAAAATTATAAAACTAAATTTTATATTTTACCTTAATATAATGTAAAATATTTTAGAGTTCATTTAGTTTATATTTTTAGAATATAAATTAAAAAGTCCTAAATACATTTTTTATATATTAATTTATATGAACAAATAAAAATATTAACATTAATTTTAATATTTATGTTATGTAGATATTTTTATTAGATAATTAATAAAATTAATATTAATTTTTTATTTTTATTATGTTTATTAATAATAAAAAATATAATAAATATACCCTTAATTTATGATTTTAAGTATATGTGTTAGATCTGCTCATATTTTAATAAAATAGTTTATTTTAATTGCTGTGCTTGAAGTACTTAGGCATCAACTAAACGCAGAACTGAGTCGGGTCCCAAACAACAAAACTATCAATGTTCTGACCCCATGAAATTATGGAATCCGTGGAGTCATCGTCGACCATGTCATAGCATTTCTTCAGAAAAGGCGCAACTGACACAGACCCATTGTCGGCCGATTTCACCATAACTGGGTATGATTCTGCTGAAGGTCAGAGAAAATTTATCTAATTTTCTG